CAGGGAATCCTTTCCCCATTGCTTGTTTTTGTCAGGTCTCTCAAAGATCAGACGGTTATAGATATGTTGTGTTGCCTTCGAGGCCTCTGTTCTGTTCCATTGGTCTATATCTCTGTTTTGGTACCAGTACCATACTGTTTTGATTACTGTAGCCTTGCAGTATAGTTTGAAGTCCGGTAGTGTGATGCCTCCCGCTTTGTTCTTCTTGCTTAGAATTGACTTGGCTATGTGGGCTCTCTTTTGGTTCTATATGAAGTTTAAGGTGTTTTTTTTCCAGTTCTGTGAAGAAGGTCATTGGTAGCTTGGTGGGGATAGCGTTGAATCTGTAAATTACTTTGGGCAATATGGCCATTTTCACGATATTGATTCTTCCTAACCATGAACATGGAATGTTTCTCCATCTGTTTGTGTCCTCTCTGATTTCGTTGAGCAGTGGTTTGTAGTTCTCCTTGAGGAGGTCCTTTACTTTCCTTGTTAGTTGTATTCCCAGGTATTTTATTCTCTCTGTGGCAATCGTGAATGGCAGTTCGTTCTTGATTTGGCTCTCTTTAAGTCTGTTATTGGTGTATAGGAATGCTTGTGATTTCTGCACATTGATTTTGTATCCTGAGACTTTGCTCAAGTTGCTTATCAGTTTCAGGAGATTTTGGGCTGACGATGGGGTCTTCTAGATATACAATCATGTCGTCTGCAAATAGAGACAATTTGACTTCCTCCTTTCCTATTTGACTACCCTTTATTTCTTTTTCTTGCCTGATTGCTCTGGCTAGAACTTCCAGCACTATATTGAATAGGAGTGGTGAGAGTGAATCGTTCTACTATAAGGACATGTGCACACGAATGTTCATTGCAGCACTGTTTACAATAGCAAAGACTGGAACCAACCCAAATGCCCATCAATGATAGACTGGACAGGGAAAATGTGGCACATATACACCATGGAATATTATGCAGCCATAAAAAACGATGAATTCGTGTCCTTTGTAGGGACATGGATGAACCTGGAAACCATCATTCTCAGCAAACTGACACAAGAGCAGAAAATCCAACACTGCATGTTCTCACTCATAGGCGGGTGTTGAACAATGCGAACACATGGACACAGGAGGGGAGCACTACACACTGGGGTCTGTTGGGGGGAAATAGGGGAGGGACAGCCGGGGGAGGGGAGTTCAGATGAGATAGCATGGGGAGAAGTGCTAGATGTGGGTGATGGAGAGGAAGGCAGCAGATCACACTGCCACGTGTGTGCCTACGCAGCAATCTTGCGTGTTCTTCACATGTACCCCAAAACCTAAAACGCAATAAAATAAATTAAAAAATTAAAATTAAAATTAAATTTAAATTTAAAAAATACAAAACAATTAGCTGGGTGTGGTGGTGGGCGCCTGCAAACCTGCCTACTCAGGAAACTGAGGCAGGAGAATTACTTGAACTGGGGAGGCGGAGGTGGTAGTGAGTGGAGATCAGGCCACTGCACTCCAGACGGGACAATAGAGTGAGACACTGTCTTAAAAAAAAAAAAAAATTCCTCCACTGCTTCTCAAGCTTCCTGTCTACCCACCAGATTGCTGCTAGTCAAACTCTTCCTTCTTCGTTTCATTTCTTTTCTTTTTTCTCTTATTTATTTATTTATTTATTTATTTTGGCTTCCAGTCCAATTGCTGAAGGGGTTTCCGATAGGTTTGGGCATAGTAAATATAAACAAAGAATATTCTGAGGCTTTTTGATCAGTTATAACAGGTCATTTCATTTCTTTTTTTTTTTTTTAAGAAAGAAAGAAGGAAAGAAATAAAGAAAGAAAGAAAAAGAAAGAAAGAAGAAAAGAATAGAAAGAAAGAAGAAAAGAAAAGAAAGAAAGAGAGAAAGAAAGAGAAAGAGAAAGAGAAAGAAGGAGAGAGAACGGGAGTCTTGCTCTATTGCCCAGGCTGGAATGCAGTCTAAAAATGGGTACTAAAAACCTCTTTTATGCCAATAATTGTGCTTGACAATGGAGACGGGAAGGAATAAGGGAGGAAGATAACAAACAAGCAGCCCACCAATATTTCATTTAAACCTGTGAAATGCTATACAGTTACTGAGGAGTGATTTACTTCCAATTATGTGGCCACTTATAGAGTAGATGTGATGTGGTGCTGAGAAGAATGTATATTCTGTGGATTTGAGGTGGAGAGTTCTGTAAATGTCTATTAGGTTTGCTTGTTCCAGGTCTGAGTGCAAATCCTGGATATGCTTGTTAATTTTCTGTCTAATATTGATGATGGAGTGTTAAAGTCTCCCGCTATTGTTGTATGGGAGTCTAAGTCTCTTTCTAAGTCATTAAGAACCTGCCTTATGTATCTGGGTGCTCCCGTTTGGGTGCGTATATATTTAGGATCCTTAGCTCTTCTTGTTGCATTGATCGTTTTACCATTATGTAATGTCCTTCTTTGTCTCTTTTGATCTTTGTTGCTTTAAAGTCCATTTTACCAGAGACGAGAATTACAGCTCCTGCTTTTTTTTTTTTCCTCTCCATTTGGTTAGTAAATCTTCCTCTATCCCTTTATTTTGAGCCTTTGTGTATCCTTGCATGTGAGATGGGTCTGGATACAGCACACCGATGGGTTTTGGATTTTTATCCAATTTTCCTATCTGTGTCTTTTGATTGGGGCATTTAGTCCATTTAAATTTAGGGTTAATATTGATATGTGTGAATTTAATACTGCCATTTAATGCTAGCTGGCTGTTTTACCCATTAGTTGATGCAGATTCTTCATTATGTTGATGCTCTTTACCTTTTGGTATGTTTTTAGAATGGCTGATACTGGTTGTTCCTTTCTATATGTAGTGCTTCTTTCAGAAGGTCTTGTAAAGCAGGCCTGGTGGTGATGAAATCTCTGAGTACTTGCTTGCTGACAAAAAATTTTATTTTTCCTTCGCTTATGAAGCTTAGTTTGGCTGGATATGAAATTCTGGGTTGAAAGTTCTTTTCTTTAAGGATGTTGAATATTGGCCCCCACTCTCCTCTGGCTTGTAGGGTTTCTGCTGAGAGATCTGCTGTGAGTCTGATGGGCTTCCCTTTGTGAGTAACTTGACCTTTCTCTCTGGCTGCCCTTGGCATTTTCTCCTTCATTTCAACCCTGGTGAATCTGACGATTATGTGCCTTGGGGTTGCTCTTCTTGAGGAATATCTTTGTGGTGTTCTCTGCATTGCCTGGAGTTGAATATTGGCCTGCCTTGCTAGGTTGGGAACGTTTTCCTGAATAATATCCTGAAGCGTATTTTCCAGCTTGGGTTGATTCTCTTCATCACATTCAGGTACACCTCTCAAACGTAGATTAGGTCTTTTCACATAGTCCCATATTTCTTGGAGACTTTGCTCATTCCTTTTTACCCTTTTTTCTCTAATCTTGTCTTCTCGTTTTATTTCATTGAGTTGATCTTTGACCTCCGATATCCTTTCTTCTGCTTGGTCAATTTGACTGTTTAAACTTGTGCATACTTTGTGAAGTTCTTGTGTTGTATTTTTCAGCTCCATCAATTCACTTATATTCATCTCTAAATTGTCTATTCTCATTAGCATTTCGTCAAACATTTTTTCAAAGTTCTTAGTTTCTTTATGTTGGGTTAGAACATGTTGTTTTAACTCACAGACGTTTCTTATTATCCACCTTCTGAAGCCTAATTCTGTCAATTCATCACACTGATTCTCCATCCAGCTTTGTTCCTTTGCTGGTGAGGAGTTGTGATCCCTTGTAGAAGGAGAGGCGTTCTGATTTCAGGTATTTTCAGCCTTTTTGCACTGGTTGCTTCCCAACTTTGTGAATTTAACCACCTGTCGTCTTTATAGTTGCAGACTTTCAAATTGGGTCTCTGAGTGGATGCCCAGCTTGTGATGAAGTTATTTCTGTTTGTTTTCCTTTGGCAGACACTCCTTCCCCACAGAGCTGGACCTTCCCAGATTCAGCTGTGCTTGCTGTGAAACTCTCAACCCACAGCCCTTCCAATTGCTGTTTTTTTGTGGGGGTGGAACCAGCTGAGCCTGATCACCTGGTTCTCTGCCTCAGAGCCTTTTTTTTTTTTTTTTTTTTTTGAGACGGAGTTTCTCTCTCGTTACCCAGGCTGGAGTGCAATGGCGCGATGTCGGCTCACTGCAACCTCCGCCTCCTGGGTTCAGGCAATTCTCCTGCCTCAGCCTCCTGAGTAGCTGGGATTACAGGCACGCGCCACCATGCCCAGCTGATTTTTTGTATTTTTAGTAGAGACGGGGTTTCACCATGTTGACCAGGATGGTCTCGATCTCTTGACCTCGTGATCCACCCACCTCGGAGTCCCAAAGTGCTGGGATTACAGGCCTGAGCCTTTTTTTTTTTAAAGGCCCTGGGATCTATGATATTTCTCGTGCGGTGACCCACTGTGCCGGCTGAAACAGCGGCGCTGAGATTCGTGGCGCTTTTTGCCCGGGAATCCTCAGGCCTGGCTCCCTGTTTCAGTCTCCTCTTCAATCAGCTAAATGGGCGACTCTGCCTTCCCAGAACTCCAAATGCCAACCAAAAGGGCATGGCGCGCCAGCCAAAAGAGTCGCGCTGGCGACCCGTGGGGCTCCTCTGCCTGGGAATCTCCTGGTCCGTGGGCAACAAAAATCCGTCTGGAAAAGTGGCGTCCACTCACTCTCTGCGCTTTCACTGGGAGCTGCAATCCTGAGCTGCTCCTAGTTGGCCATCTTGGATCTCTCTCCTCTCTTTCTTTTCAAATGACTTCCCTACATTCAGTTGCTGTCTTTTCATTTTTCCTAAATTTAAAAGTAGACTCTAACTCACACATTCAGACCACACAGAGACGAATCTAACCTACTATTATCTGTCACTACAGTGAACACTTAGTCATGTTTACTTCAGGTCTAATTTCTTTATTTAACAAGAAATAAGGCAGGGCAGATGGAAATGAATAGTGCTTTGGAAAGCCAAAAGCCAAAATTGTTAAAATGAAACGCCAGTGAGCCAGATTTGCCGTCACACCTCCTAGGGTGCAGCCCTCCATCTGAGCCCCCTTTTCAGGGCACCCTTGACTTCTTTGTTCCGAAGGCCGTAGATGAAAGGATTCAAGGTCGGCGTGACGACCGCATAGACCACACTTGCCAGGCGGTCGTAGCGGGCTGAGTAGGCAGACGATGGCCGGAAATACACAGAGAGGACAGAGCCAAAGAAAAGTGCCACCACCACCAGGTGGGTCCCGCAGGTGGAGAAGGTGCGGAGCCGACCCCCGGCGGAGCACACACCGAGCACCATGACCAGGATATGCACATATGAGAGGGTCACCAGGAGCAGCGGGGCCACCACCACGGCCAGGCCCTCGGAAAAGATGGCCATCTCCGCAGTGGAGGTGTCCGAGGTCGCCAAGCTCAGCATCACCGTCATGTCACAGAAGAAGTGGCGCACGGGGGCAGCACGGGGGTAGGAGAGCGTGGAGAGGAGCAGTGTGTGCAGCAGTGAATGCAGGTGTGCCACAGCCCAGGACGCACACACCAGCATGGCGCAGCGTCGTGGCGTCATCAGCGCGACGTAGCGGAGGGGTTGACATACCGCCACCGCGCGGTCATAAGACATGGCCGCCAGGAGGTAGCTCTCGGTGATGCCCAGAGCCACGAAGAAGTACATCTGGGCAAAGCACGCCTGGAAGGACACAGCCTGGCCCGGATGGAGCAGGATGACCAGCAGCCTGGGGACTGTGACAGTGGCAAAGCCGAAGTCCACGAGGCTCAGGTGCCCCAAGAAGTAATACATAGGGGATTGGAGGGCCCTGTCAGACCTCACCAGCACCACCATGCTTAGGTTGCCCAGGGCGTTGAGCAGGTAGACACCAAGGAAGAGCAGGAACAGCAGCAGGTGGGCATCTGTTCCATCCACGAGGCCGAGGAGGAGGAACACCGGGGCAGAGGTGAAGTTGGTCGGTGCCATGGAGTGCACTGACAGGTGGGAATGCTGAGGGGAGAGAGGAGGCAGCCGGCCAAAATTCTGGAACTCTGGGTAGACTTCCTGCATGTTGTGGTTCCACATATACATTTTAATACATATGTTTGTGGATTTTGATATATAAATTTCTTCTTGCCAAAATGTATTGAAAATCATGTTGCTCATCTAATAATCGTAATTTTATGAAGAAACAATCTCAGAAGAGTGTTCTAGCATAGTGGGTAACTCTCAAGCTTTGGTGTAGGTCAGACCTGCTTTGAATCCTGGCTGTACCACAAAGGTATTGCGACCTCTCTTAGCCTCAGTTTCTTCTTTAATGAGGAAAATATTAGTAGCTACCCCAGAATTGGTTGTGTTACAAGTAAAATGCTCGGTGCTGCAAAGTGGAACTAACACTTAGGCAAAAGTTTTCTCAGCAAGGCAATTTACTTCTATAGAAGGGCATCTCCTGCATGCAAGGGAGAACACCTAGAACAAAGAAGAACACCAGTTTTTATACTTAACGCAGACCCTGTTCCTGTGTCTTCCCCCGTGGGCTGAGTTCAGACTGCACAATCTAGGCTAATTCTGATTTGCCACTGTTGACCTCATCAGTGGGGCAAGGGTAGGCTTTTGAGTGACGGGAAATGCTTTGGCGTGTTTACGCACAGCAGAGATGAAGGCTGAGAGATGAATGGGTAAGATTACTTCTTAGAATAGAAAGAAGAACTAGAAACTGAAACCTTTTGAAGAGGAACTATTTGTTCTTAACAGTTGTGAGATACAGTGAAAAAGTTTAAAATACTTAGCACCGTATCTGGCATATAATAAGCACTCAAAGTCCTCTACCTAGTATCTGTGTATCTATCTATCTTCTATCAATCTCTACTGTCTATCTATCATCTATCCATCTATCTTCTTCCATCTATCTATCATCTATCTACTTAATCATCATTTTTTGTTTAAACAAATAGAAGCAGAATTCAGACCCAGGCCATTTGAATACCAGTCTAAATTTCTTCATAAAGCACCTTACTGCGTTTGCCACTTATTTGTTGACCACACATTATGTGCTTGTTCAGGAATTGACAAGCTTTTTTTTGGTAAAGAATCATATAGTTAATATTTTATGCTTGTGATCCATATGGTCCTTGTTGCAACAGCTCAGCTCTGAAGTTGTAGTGCAAAAGCAGCCATTAAGAAAAAGTAAATGAATGGCCACAGCTCTGTTCCAATAAAACTTTATTTACAAAGCAGGTGGCAGACTGGATTTGGACATTTCACTGACCCCTGTACTAGATACTGTAGAATGCAGGAAGGTGAATGAGTCTAAGCTTCTGCCTCTAAATAGTTTGACCCGCAGTAGCTTGTGGCATGTTTAGTACTTTACTAATTTTATGAACCAAGTGGGAGTAAATTACTTTTTTTAGAGAAATTTGGAAAGAATTCAAAGAAGAAGTGAGGCTTTAACTGGGTCTTGGAGAATGAATCAGGTTCACCAGGGAGGGCATTCCGAACTGAATGACGACATTGTGTGGGACTGTTGGCAGAGAAGGCATGGAGTGAAGAGAGTAAAACATCCACACATGACACTGGGAAAGGCTTGTCCTTGATCTGTCCTTAGTGCACAAAATCAGCTGGACAAAACATTTCTAAATTTCTCAGTTAACCAAGTGACTTCAGCTGTCTCAGAAACAATGCACTCATTTTGTCCCCCATTGAATCTCTCCCTTAAAACACCACGTTCTTGCCGGGCGCAGTGGCTCAAGCCTGTAATCCCAGCACTTTGGGAGGCCGAGGCGGGTGGATCACGAGGTCAAGAGATCCATCCTGGTCAACATGGTGAAACCCCGTCTCTACTAAAAATATAAAAAATTAGCTGGGCATGGTGGCGCGTGCCTGTAATCCCAGCTACTCAGGAGGCTGAGGCAGGAGAATTGCCTGAACCCAGGAGGCGGAGGTTGCGGTGAGCCGAGATTGCGCCATTGCACTCCAGCCTGGGTAACAAGAGCGAAACTCCGTCTCAAAAAAAAAAAAAAAAAAAAAAAACCACCACATTCTTTTCTACCATTGCTCCAAAATTTCTAGCAGTGTTCAATTAAACTAGCACACCTACCCTTTGCCGGGAAAGCTCCAGGCTTTGGTGAAATCCTGGAGGATGGACTAAGTTAGGTCTTGGCAGGGAAGCTCCTTGTGAGAAGGAGCTGCATCTCACTGGCTTGTCCAGTGATCTGTACACGATATTTATCCAATACATATTTGTTGAATGAAGCTTTTGGAAGAGCAGTGAATGAAAACAAAGGAGAAGGGAGGGTGAAAGAGAGAGGTGATGGACAAACTGCAGGGACAGCTCCTGTCAACTTCCCAGGGCAAGCCCCAGATAGACACCATTTTTTTACATTTTTCTGCTTCTCTATCACTGTCACCCAGCAGCTGTCCCACGGAAATCATCTGCTATGCTCCTTCCAACCCCACCCCTTGCCCCAATGTAGAATAGTAGCATCAGAGAGCCAAGACCTTGGCACACCTCCAATTCATTTTCTTCAGGTGCAGGATTCTTCTCAACTGATTCCTGACCCTCACTTCACAACCTCTTCTTAGGCAGCTTGTGTGATGCAGCTTTAGAGCCACCTGGATTTTAATCCTGATTGGCTGTGGAAACGTGGACCCACTTCATTTCCTCTTCACTCTCCTCATCTATAATGAGGATATTGAGTCCTCTCTTACATGGTTGATGTCAGGATCGAAGAGGTAATGTATGTATAGGCGAGAATGGATGCTAATAGATGTTAGTTCCTTCTTCCTCAACTTCTGATGGTTTCTCTCTGTTCCCTGATGGCCTCTTGAGATAGGCCAGTCCAGTGCTGGAGGACTGTGGTGGTTTTAAGTGTTTTTCTTAATCTCAACTGAAGTCTGCTTTCCTGTAACTTCTACAAATGATTCCAATTTTGGCCTCAGAGCCACACATGCCAAGACTGCTTCCTCTGCAGCTTTTCACATAGTGGTCAAAGGAATCTATTCTATTCCTTTCTTCAACCCAAACACCCCTGGTACCTTAGAACTTTTCCTGTAGGGCCATATTTTTAGGTCATTTTCCATTCTGGTTGCTCTCTGCTTTGTCTATATTAACAGGAGTTGGACACGATGCTCAGCCATGGAATGGCTCAGCTGTACAATTCATGCCCCGTTATTGAGTGCCTGCTCTGAGTCAGGGATTGACTCCGGGTTGGGCTCCGGGGCTCTAGAGAAAGATCAGTCATTGTCCTTGACCTCCAGCTGGGCATGACAGTCTACACTAACTGCACGAACAAAGTGGGAGTGGTTTCCTCCACTAGACAATTTGGAGAAGATTCCAAAGAATAAGTGGAAATTGAGCTGGTTTTGGAATAACGAGTAGGAGATCACCAGATATACAGATGCTTGGTAATGGAAAGGGCATTTCAGGCAGAGGAAAGAGAATGTGAAGGTATAGGAAGATGTTTAGTGGGTTGGTTAGAGCTAAAATGTGGCCTCTTCCTCCCTAATACTGTAAGGCAGATAGATGAATGTGGGGTCAGGGAGGAAAACAGGACAGAAGGGAAAGAAGACAGCAGAGAAATGTTGGGTTCTTTCACCTGAAAGGCAGCATGCCAGAACTCAGCACCATCTGCAGAGACTGTTGGCTGGTCTCCCTTGCAGCCAGAGGTAGCCAGTCTTGAAGACAAATGCACTGTCAACCATCTCAGCCCAGAGACTTCAGTGGGTTTCCTGTGAGCTGAGACAGAAGCGGATATAGAAAGAAAGCCATAGCTATCCTATATCTGGGAATTCCTGAGCCATGCTTTTCCCACTCAACTTTACTTTCCTGCCAGCTTCCCTCTTGCCTACTGGATGCAGAGCTGAGCTGTTTGCACTCATACGGACATCTCACTGCCTGTTAGATATAGTGCCAGTGGCTCAGCTACGGATCCAAAGATTTCGGCATGGCCCCAGCTTCCCCAGTCTTATCTCCACTGCCTCTTGCTTACACCTTCCTCACATGCCTTCCCCATACACTCCTCCCTACCTGAAATACTCTTCCTACCCTGTCCCAATACCCGGCCCAGATCCCCTTCCTCCAAAAACCCCACGTCCTTTCTTGACTCCCCAGCCCACATGAGCACCTCGCTCCAGTTTCTTGTACCTCTCATTGGGAACTTGGCCCTCATTTTCTGGTACAAAAGTGAAAATTTCTCTTTTTGTTTTTGTTTTTTTCTGTGATGCTTATCTTCCCTGCTAGATGATGAGCCTTCTGAAGACAAACATTTGTCTTTCCTTGTCTGACCTTAGGCTTGGCACAGGGTTTTGTCCTAACTGTCCTTGCAACGTTAGGGAAGGCTCCACGGAAGAGGTGGCATTTCAGCAGGGCAGGCTTGAAGGACAAGGCATTCAGTGGACAGATAGCGGTGGGAGAGAATTCTAGAAAGAATTCCTTTCAATGTACAAAGAAAATACAAGAGACAGGAAGCTTCTTCACCTCTTTCAGCTTCATGAGTTTTTTTTTTTCCTCCAAAAGTAGGATAAGAATACTATCCTCACAGTTTGCTTATAAACACTCTGCAAATAGTAGGTGCTTCATAAATGTCAATTTCCTTCCCCGTCTCCTGGACTTTGGGCGATGGAGAGACGTGTCGATTGCATTTGTATTGGCTCCTGTTGAAACACTTTGCACAGGGCTGGGCTGCCTGGACGCTGAGCTGCTGCTGTGGACACAGAGCCCTTTCCTGAGGCCCAGGCAAGGCAGGTGTCTGCTTTGAATTGGGCAGGAAGCTTTGATTATTTAAGGTCACAAAATGAGACAGGGATGCTTAGCTTCCAGAACAATAACAACAAAAAAACCTGTTTCAGGCAGCTCACTGTCTTAAACTCTGTGCTGAAAGGGTCATTTTTAGAGCACACATTCAGATGCCCCAAGACACGGAAGTACACAGGGATACATGCTTGCACACAGACACACACGGATGTATCCCAATATGTCCAAACACACA